GATCTGGTGATAACTAATCCACGTGATATTAAACTGGATAATCTCTCTTCTGTCTCGAACAAATTAATATCTGATCATTTCCCGGCAACTTTTAATCTTATGATCCAGAAACCACAACCAACAAGAAAGACTTTAACATATCGAAGGTTTAAATCATTTGACATAAAAAATTTAAAGCGGAAATAGTGAACTCGAATTTCAATGGCATTCAACGTATTCAAGATATACAAGAGAGGGCAGCCCAATATCACTCAAACCTTGCTGAAATTTTGGACTCGCTTGTTCCTTATCAAACGAAAACATTTACTATTCGTCCCAATACGCAGTGGTTTAATGATTCTATTTTAGAAGGCAAAAGGGACCGTAATAAGGCTGAACATCTGTGGTGGAAAACAAATCTACATGTCCATAAACAGATTTATAAATCTTTAAAAAACAATGTGAATAAATTAATTGAAGATGCTAGAATTAAATTTTACTCTGATAAAATAGAAAATGGCGAAAACAGACCTGTATAAAGTTGTGAATTCCCTTTTGGACCATAATGCTGAGCGTACTATCCTCCTGGACAATGATAATGACAAAGGACTTGCAAATTTATTCTCTGATTTCTTTCAAATAAAAATAAAGAAAATACGAACTGAACTTGATGATTTAAATAAAACTATTGACTTTAACGCTCATGATTTTGATAAGTTAGAAAATTCTGTTTATTTAGAAAATTGTAACTTGGTTAGTGAATCTTTTGTTTTAAAGCTAATTAAATCATCTGCTCCTAAATCTTGTTCATTAGATCCTGTTCCAACTTCTGTTCTTAAGGACTGTCTAGACGAAGTTATTCCAGTTTTTACCAATATTATTAATTCTTGTATATCATCCGCTACTATTCCCAACGTTTTCAAACGAGGTTATGTTACCCCTTTTATTAAAAAGTCTACACTGGATCCTAATGTTTATAAAAATTACAGGCCAGTCTCTAACTTAAGTTTTATTTCTAAAATATTGGAGAAATGTATTGCTTCTCAGATAAAGGCCCATCTAGATGATAACTGTTTGTATGAACCATTTCAAAGTGCTTATAAACATTTTCACAGTACCGAAACAGCTTTAACCCGGGTTTCAAATGATATTTTAATGGATCCTTCCATTCTTCTACGTAGACTTCAATTTAAATTCGGTATTTGTGGCTCTGCATTAAATCTTTTAGAGAGCTATCTTGTGGATAGAAAACAGTGTATTTTAGTTAATTGCAAATCGTCGTCTGAATCTGTTTTGTCATCTGGGGTTCCCCAAGGTTCTGTTCTTGGTCTGATTTTATTTACCCTCTATACGTCACCATTAGGAGATATTGTCAGAAAATATGGTCTCAGCTTTCATTTGTATGCTGATGATACTCAATTATATATTTCAATTACACCTAATTGTCCATCTTCTTTCAATATATCAAAATTGCAACTTGAGAACTGTATTAGTGAAAATAGAAAATGGATGTCAAAGAACTTTCTAAAATTGAATGATGATAAAACCGAATATTTGTTATTAGGCTCAAGGCATCAATTAAGTAAATCTGCACAAGATAACCCTCCTGTTGTAATTGGTAATTGTGATATATTTTCATCTTATTCTGCTCGTAATATTGGCGCTATGCTATTTTAATATTAGAAATATAGGTAAAATACGTAAATGTGTAACTGTAGAGGCCACTAAGTCACTTGTTAATTCTCTGGTCACTTCTCGATTAGATAACTTTAATTCACTTTTAGTTGGTTTACCTTTAAAGCTTATAGATAAATTACAAAAAGTACAGAATACTGCGGCTAGACTTGTTACTTTAACTAAGAAATGTGACCACATAACTCCTGTTTTATATAATTTACACTGATTACCTGTTAAATATCGAATTGATTTTAAGATTTTATTACTTACTTTTAAATGTTTAAATAATTTAGCTCCTGTTTACCTCTCAGATCTTTTAGAACTTTATACAACTACTTTTAAAGCCCAAAACTGTTCAACTAGTCTCTTATGGTCAGCGCTCTTTTAGTTATCAAGCACCTGTTTTATGGAATAATCTACTATTTAGTTTAAAGGTCACCGGAAAAGGCTTCATAAATCGTTTAAATAATGCAAGTAATTATGTCAAAATATCATTTCCATAAGTATAACACGATCCCGAATGTCAACATTACCTGCCACAGGTAAATTTCAACGTTAGCGATTTCCGCCGTTCTCCGTGAGTCGTCGTAGTTTTCCGCCAATAAAAAAGCCGTGACGTCATTTTAGTCCTTCTGCTCATTTGACCGGTTCCGGTATCCCGTTGTTTACATTGGAGATGGTTCACTGTGTTGTTGTGAATTGCAACAGTAAAACTGGGTGCGGAGAAAGTTTTTTCAAATTTCCTGACAAAGATAAGGAAAAAGATCTCTACCACACATGGATAGTTAAGATAAGACGCTCACAGTCACATACGCCTAATTCTAAAAAGCTTTGGGAGCCATCTAAGCATTCTCACGTCTGCTCAAAGCACTTCAGTTCTGACAGTTTCACGAAAGACCCGTTGTTACTCCAGGCTATTAATTTCACTGCAAAAGGCTTACGCCTAAAAAAAGATAGTTTCCCGACATTATCACTGGGAGTAGAGCCGTTACTTGGACCTGATACACCGAGAGGTGGTTTTAGAAAGAGAGAAAGACAAAGGGTAGGTTGACATTTTTTACGCACGAGGCCTATATTTATATAATATCATCTCGCTATAAATAGAGTGGGCGTGACTTAATTTCTATTTATAGAATGATAACAATTACTCATTTCATTAGTCCTATAGGCCTAGTACTGTATAAACTATTGTTCGTTTTTTTATTATTAAAATAAAAAGTTAACTATTAAAAGTGAAATTATAGCACTGACAAGCAATCATAAATATTGGCCTATGACCTATGAATGAGTACCCATGGCAGGAGTCCAGGCCCATCTCGTTGATTGATCGATTGAGATTTTCGAAATCGAATCTCGGATTATAAATTATGCATACCGTAAACAAGCTATTTTGAACTCCTTGGGTGTGACTAGTCAAATAAGGTAAATTCGAAAATTGTTTTATTTGTATTTAGGCCTACCCACAATAAAGTCAAGTCGATCTCCAAAGTAATAATATTAATTAAATAATGCCAATATGAAACCAACCCAACAGTGTCGCCTAGTGCGGTTTTATATTTTTGTAATCTTGATGGAAGCTTAAAAATTAAATATTTGCTCGTTCGGGTAGGCTACTAGTAGGGCCTACTATGAAATTTAAGGTAAGACTAGAATTAGAAAAAAAAATATCACATTATAGCTGTGTAAATCTCTGAATAATTTCAACAAATATTTTTATTAGATTGTAATATTGCTTAATTTCTTTTTATGGCAGGTTCTCCAAGACATATTTTCTAACTTTGACTTTGAGGATGGGAGGAAAGTAAGGAAAGCCAATCAAGACACAGGAGCAAGTTATGATCTGATTCCACTATTAGAAACTAGTACTAGTAAAAATAATTCTGATATTATTGACCACCAAGTACCGGTACCACAATCAAGCTCAATTTCAATATCACCAGATGTGGTACTTCAGAGATCTGCAAAGGTATAAATTATGAAATTTTATTATTATTACATTTTTGCCCATAATTTTCAATAAGAAAATGGATGTAATAAATTTTGGAAGTCTGTATTGAGATAAACTGAAACAGGCGTGATCAGCATCCATGATCAGCATACATGTGTGTAGGAACACACCATAACTTGATTATCTGTGGGTATATAGGTCAACAGAAATTTTTATCAAGACACTATACTATAGCATTGAATTAAGAAACTTGTGTGGGGAAAATTGGGCAGATTTAATTTTCTCAACAATGTAATACTTTAATTTGTTAGTCTTAATTTTGAATTTATTTATTATTCCAGACCTATGTGAAATCCACCCAAACTTTAAGAGGTGTGGTCAGTCAAGGTTGTCAGACATCCTCCTCATTTATTAAGTATGCTGATGCTGCAACCCAAACAGACGAGTTACCCCAGAATCCTGTTGTGGTACAAGAAATTGTTTCTCAAGTTTCTTCTTCTACTGCCAGTGAGGATGAATACACTACAGATGATGAATTGAATGATAAGCAGAATGAGGATTGGTTTCCATATACTACTGATGATGAAAGTGATGATAGTGATAGTGTTTTTAATGAAATGTATGTTAATTATAAAATATTACAGAAACTTCCATCTCAAACTCAGACTGCAATGATATGCTCAATCCATAGGCGTACGGGGAAATTTTTGACTGGGGGGGGGGGGGGGTGGTGGTGGTTGGTGCCCAAAAATTTAGTTAGGATCTTAGTATGTTACATAATAATAATAAATTCGCTGTTAAATTGGACACATTCAAGAACACAATATTTTTTTATACAACTTTTACAAAGTACAATTGTGTGCCCAAATTTTCCCAGCATTTGGTGCCCATGTATTGTAATGCATATTCAATACATATTCTTTTCATTTAGCTCATAATGTATAATCATTTAGTGATGAAAAACATGCCATTAATTCAAGAGATATACTGAATGCTTTATTAACTGTCTTCATAAGCCCAGTTTGAGCAGAAATTAACCCAATTTCATTTTAAAAAATATATAGTACATATATCCAAATTTTGAAGCGTTTTCCTCAAAATTTAAGAATGTATTGTAGTAAAGAAACTGTCAAAATATCGTCATCAAAACCCTGTAATCGCTCTACAAGCCAGAGTTTATAAGATTTCATTTTAAAAACTTGCTATTTTGTTTTTATTTCAGAAAGATTACTGATATTTTAAACACAGATAAGGTTGAAGAAAGGAAATATATTGTTTTTGAATCAAATATAAAAGAGCTTCTAGAGGTGTGCAGAGAATGTCACAATAAGTGTGTAGTTGTGCTTAAGCAAAATGTGGTTGTTATGGAGGCAACATGTGAAACAAGGCACACATTTCTGTGGAGTAGTCAGCCATCAAACAATCAGTTACCATTAGGAAACTTGTTACTTTCTGCAAGTATCCTGTTTTCAGGTGCTAGTGTCACAAACATTCTTAATGTGTTGAACAGAATAAATGTGTCTTCATTTACAGACAGAACATACAGACATATTCAGTCTTGTTACCTGGTACCAGCTGTTAAGAATGTTTGGTCACTTTGGCAAATGGCAGCAGTAAGAGAAGTTAAAGGGAGAAATGTAAAACTTGGAGGGGATGCTAGATGTTGTTCACCAGGCCACACAGCTAAATATGGTAGTTATTCTCTTATGGATTTGGAGAGTGGAATTGTATTAGATGTGCAACTGATACAGGTAAAGGAAACCAACAATTAATTAACAGATAGCTTAGTGGTCTAACATGCATGCTTTAGATCATAATATCTGCCATTGAGTCAAGTGACATGGATTTGATCCCAAGCTTGTACGTGACATGGAATAGTGTAAGCTGCCGAACCTCATGGGCTTTCTTCGTGTCGATCTGGTTTCTTTACACTGCTTAAGACCCCTACGCACAAGCGAATTACTGAACAATTACACTAATATTATATAAAACACAGAGGGTTGTCAGACCCTTTTGGACACCTACAATCAGCAAAGTTGTCTGCTCTATTTATAAAACTGATTTTTTAAAATTCTATTAGCACCACCTTCAGTAACTAAAAATTATCAGTGGTAAAAAGGACGGTAAATTCTCTTTTCATTTCATTTTCTTTCAATGTTTATATTTATATATAATAAAAAAAATAGGTTACAGAAGTTAATGATTCATACGCAATGGAGAAAGAGGGTTTGATTCGGGGACTAGAGGCTCTGAAAGGAAAGGGAGTTCAAGCAACAGACCTAACTACAGACAGACATTGTTCAGTGAGAAAGCACATGAGAACTATGGAACCAGATATAAATCATTGGTTTGATGTGTGGCATGTTGCTAAAGGTAATAAATAATGAGTCACGTTTGTAAAACACAGTGTGTGTATACATGTAGATAATAATATATGACTTTAAAACCAAAATGTAACATTGCAGAGCAGCCAAGTGTAAAATTAACTGCATTTTAGTCTCCAAATGACCAAGCCTGAAAAATAAGGCCCTTGTCACAGACATTGTTAGACACAAATTAAAGCATTAAATCAGGCTCCACAATCTCTTTACATGATTCCTGTCATTTTGTCTTGTACAAATTTGTCTTTTTCAATGTTATCAATATTTATAATATGTTCTGCATAAAGTTCAAAATCTTTATTATGGCCTGACATTGAGTCTATATACAAATTGTTATTTTCAGGCATGAAAATCACCAAACTATTTTATGTCTTAGTCATTTATAAAAAAAATTTCAGGTGTTTATAAGAAACTGATACTATTATCTAAGAAGAAAGGCTGTGAACAGATTGAAGAATGGGCACAATCCATATCTAATCATTTGTATTGGGCAGCTGCTAGCAGTGATGGAGATGGTGATTTGGTAGAGGCAAAATGGAAGTCAATAACAAATCATGTGGCCAATCTTCATGATGGACATGGTGAGCTATATCAAAGATGCCAACATGAACACCTAGACCGTCATTGTTGCCCATTAAAATTAATGATTATATTTATGACAAGCAGGTAATCATTATTATATCCTTTGTATTATGATCAACTAAGAATATTAATTGTTTTTGTCAGTAGGCCTAAGCTTTGTTAAAGGCTCAATACCACTCTTGTTGTAACTGAATAATATGTCCCAATCTTTATTCTGGTCAACAAATTGTACTATTTTAGAATATTACAGTTAATTGATGATACAAATTTCATCTTAACACACCTTATTTAAAATTTTTGAAAAATTCAACATAATGGTTTGAAACGTCTAACGTAAACCTTTTCAAATGAAACTTCGATTTAAAAATATTTTTTAAACCCCCTGGACAAGTAAAATTGGATTTAATGGATAATTTACACAACAGGTAGGACACTAACACTTCTAGTACTTAGAATAAGGCTATTTTTTATTTTCTGGAGCTGTCAAGCCAGCAAGAGTGTTATTGTCCCTTTAACATAATAGTGTTTACATTATAAAAGCAGGGGTATTTTCTTTTTTACAAACAGGATCAAAAGCACACAAGTTACTAAAAGAGTGTTTATTGAAAAAAAGTTTTATGAAAGATATTCAAAAGTTGTCCCCAGCCGAGCAGACATCCAAATTGGAATCTTACCACAAAGTTGTCTGCCAATTTGCACCCAAATTCCAACACTTTTTTTATGATGCCATGAATGCAAGGTAAGTGTTGTCTAGCCTGAAAGGTTTCTGAAAGGTTTGTCATATGAAAGTTAAAGTACAAACAACAATGCCCTGTTTTCAACATATCAATATAAAAGTCTGCATAAATAATATTTATTTATCTGATTCTGATACAATATCATTAGTATTACAATTTGGATGCTAATTGCCATAATTACAGATTGTTATTGGCTGCAATGCATAACAATGAAAACTGTGTTAGACAACAGGCTACTAAAAGGGATGGTACTGCCAAATGGAAGATAGCCTACCCAAAAGCCAAACATGGAGACCACACTTTGAAGCCTGTATTGGATTCATGTTCTTACGGTATGGAGTCAGGTTTCTTCTAAATAATAAAGCTTATTCTAAACTTGGATGAAAACTACGATTTGAATAATATTTAGTTTGAATAATGGTTACAGTTGTGTGAATTTGGAGTGAATATTGATGGAAGATCAATTTATAAGTAATAAGATCATTATCATGGTGGTTTGTTTTCTGTTGTTTTTACACCAGGTTAAATAGTGTCTAAATTGTGGTCAGTCTGTTCTTATTATTATTTACACCAACTAAAACGCTACACAGGCTGTGACACAATTCACAATACAGTACTATTACGAAATACAGTACTATTACGAAGTACTTGGAGCCACGGTGGCTAGGTGGGTAAGGTGCTGGCTCCCTAGCCTGGAGGTCGGGTGTTCGATCCCTGTATTGGCCGAGAAAGTTCATCCAGATTTTCCGACGAGGTTTCCCCTTGTCAGTGATGCAGGACGGAGGGCCTGACAAGGACAGCTGTCTAGTCTTTCGGATGAGACGAAAAACCGAGGTCCCGTGTAAACATTGGAATGCACGTAAAAGATCCCTTGGCAGTTGGAATTCGATATAAGAGTAGGCGATAGTGCCACTGCCCGGGCAAAATTTCCCTCATAGCACACTGTATGGCGTATGCCCGTCTTCATTAGCCCAGTATAGGAGCAGAACAGTAGGACGTTAAACCCCATTTCATTTCATTTCACGAAGTACTTAATGGTAGCAAATCGAAGCCAAAATGGCAAATACTTTTGGGATATAACAATTAGATTCTTAAACATATCATCTTTGTTCTAGGTTATGTAAAGGATCTTCTGCGAGAAGTAATGGAGCTTCGAGAAGCATTTCCCTCTTACAAAGCTGCTCAGGTATTGGTCAGTCGAGATGCTCCACCACCAACCACATTAAAGTCTGCCAATAGGATTGAATTGAATGTTGCCATTACTCGGCATCATTCAAGATTTAACACTACTTAAACATGCATTATGCAAGAGCTAAATCTGATTATTGCAAGTCTTAATTTAGGTTTCAGATGTTATAGAAATTATAAATTAGATCTTTATTTAAACAACAAGACCAAAATCAACTCTGTAGACCCACGGATGGCTCGGCTACAGCTCGGATTTAAATAGGATTTCACTAATTGATTAAGGGGTAACCTGATGAAAATACGTCAGTTAGATCGAGGCTAAATGATAGAGTGTACTTAGCGAGGCCGCTGTTAAGCGTTTCCGTATGCCATTGAAAACTTTACTTGATAATCGAGATATGTAGGTGGAGTTAACGCCTGTCAATCAAACGTTCGGCGAAGGTGAATACACATTTCGCTACCATTTCTAGGCAAATATTACAACGATGATAACTATGTTCAGAATAAAGTAATTTGACTGAATTTTTCAATATATTCTTCTTTCATCATCTACTTTTGAACTGTTATAGCAAGAATGGCCAACTCTCTATAAATATCTCCCATAATGTATCTTTAAGTAGAGACGACAGCGCCACTGTCTGGGCAAAATTTTTCTCATAGCACAAAGCATGGCATATTTCCGTTTCTTACTACATATTTTAGAACAGCCCTTGATTGTCTAGTATTGTCTCTGGTCGCATTTGTAATTCTTTAACTGGTTCAAGTTGTGATTGATTATACTGCATCTTAATTAGTATCACTTACGGGAAAAACAAATACAAGTTTCTTGATTAAAGTTTTATATTAAGCTCTGATACAAAGGATACATGCATTATAATAATTCATTCTCTCAAACCCCATCCAACCAGACCAGTGATGGGATTTCGCCTGTATATTCCGGACTTGTCCGACGCTATTTCCAAACGCCCAAACTTGTCCGACCTTGAATATGCCCAGTCGGACATCAAGACATGGTGAATAATATTCAAAATTCCAAAATTAATATACATGTAGTCTACTGAGTGTACAGCTACAACTCAACCCGATTATCGTTGATAATAGGCTGGATTGATTAGGTAATTAAGTGATCAACGTATTTATCGTGTTATACCGTCTTACACCTACTTTGATTAACTACTTAATCTGTCTTGATTGGCTGACTTATCCTTTTTCGGACAGTTCATCAATCCAATCTCAAACAGAAGTCATTGCTTTCCCTTTATCGGACTATTCATCAATCCAATAAGAGTGATTATAATTTTAATCTAAGTGTTAAACTTGTGGTTTCTACACTGACTTTTACATTTTAATCACAGCATGTACCAACCGACAGCATGGATAAGCTAGATGTCACATTTCGTAAGAGTACAAAACACCCCAAATCAATAGACAGTCATTTAGTCTGCAATATCTTTTACGTCTTTTAAGACTCCATATAGAAATTCCCATTTGCAGTGGCATTTCGCCGCGATCTCAATTGCCGTGCAAAAATCGCTTAGGATAAAGACAAGGAGTACGGTCGCCTGTCCAACCTCGTGGGTTTTCTCCGGGACCTCCGGTTTCGTCCCACTGCTAAAGACCCCTACGCGCAAGCGAATTATTTAAATAAAATTAAACCATATGTTAGTCCCGAAATGACCTATTTTGTGTCGAGTGGACGTTAAACCCCATTTTTCTCTCTCTCCCTCTCTCTCTCTCTTACGATAAAGCTATGTGCAGTGAGTCACGTACGCCATACGCTGCAGGAAGCTATGTCTTTTTACAAGTCGATACGGATCGGCAAGCTTTCATTCTATCATATTACGAAAACACGTAATTTTATAGAAATATCACTGACATAAATTTGAATACCACAATTAAATATGAAATATTGGCTGTTCCCATTTTTATTACACATAGATTTGAATATTTTGGTGACATTTTTTAAAGAATGAATTGCTTCTTATTCAGATTCACAGCCATCAATTGTTATATTGGCTAATTATGATGTAATTATGATGTGATTGGTCACTCATGCCAAATATGAAATGGTAACATTCCGATCACGTGTATTTAGACACAGAATCTATCCTTGGCTTTGGACCCCTTTTCCTGTTATTCACTGCCATCAATTGTTATATTGGCTAATTATGATGTAATTATGATGTGATTGGTCACTCATGCCAAATATGAAATGGTAACATTCCGATCACGTGTATTTAGACACAGAATCTATCCTTGGCTTTGGACCCCTTTTCCTGTTATTCTCACAATATTTCCTAAACAATTTAATACCATTAAACTCATACCATAGCTAATATACTGGCAATGGAGAATACAAATAAAACATTATGTATTTATCAACGATAGCTCATGTCCTCTGGTGCACTTATGTTCGTCTAATACAATTTCACATAAATTATCAAGTAGTACTAAATTGTCTTTTAATCTGATTGATTGATTGCCTGCAAATTAGCACTAATCATTGATTACAATATACATCTTTTCAGAAATCCACTTATTAGGTGACATGTCTAAAAAAAAGGGTCGTAAATAAAAAGTAATACTAATAATGCCTTCTTAGTTTTATTATGATTTGTTAAAACTGATTTAAATCTTTATTTTATAAATTATAATGAATTGGATTTGTGTCAGATACACTTAATTTACTTCTTTAGTGCTATTAAATTTGAGGCTTTTTATATTGGAAATATTTATATGTGCTATAAAATGTAATTGAAAAGTAATTAACCATTACATGATTTTTGGAATGAAATTATTTACATTTTCATTACTCATTACTCTTCCATTTAATAAAAAATCAAACAAAATACTTTGAAAGTTTTTTTTTCTTATTTTTAATAGTCATCAGGATACTTAAATCCTGTGTAAGTTTCAGAACTGGAAGGAAAAGTTTCACAAATTTTATTTACAACACAGGATGGAATGACCTTTCTGTTCTTTTTACCAAGGATATGCCATATCCATCTTGTAAACCTTCTGTAGGCTATATATCTATAGACCCTGAAATAAATAAATTGGGTACCATTAACTAAAAGCATTGTATGTGAGCAGTTCAATAATCAATTGTGTATGTTGTTAAATTATTGAAATGTTTAAGAAAGATATTTTTATGCTAGTAATAAAGTACTCCCATGTGTGTGGCAGTGTATTTACTGAATATTTGTGTATTGCAATCCTACTGGGATAATAAGATGTAGCAATAGTTAAATTGACTCATTTAGAGTCTAAATGGAGAAATTGACCCCAAATGGCCAAAACCTGAATATGAATATGTTAAAAAAAAAACAACCAAAACATACTCATGTATATGTTCATCATCACCAACTGGCCCTTGCTGTTCAATGTACTCATAACAAGCCAACAGTGAGGCTGATGTCCCCCGCCGAAATAGGAAAATAATTAGAGGACACATATAAAAATCAAATTGCGTATTGCTCTGCTTACCCTGAGCAGAAAATGCTCATTATCAAACTTAGTCAAGGTATTACTGTAATGAAACTATACACCAAGTTTCATCAATCTCACTTAATTAGAACTAAAGTTATCGTGTCCCAAAGCATCAACCAATCAAATTGCTTATCTCTGCTTACCCTAAGCGGAAAATGCTCATCTTCGAACTCCATCAAGGCATTGACCTAATCAACACATACACCAAGTTTGAACATTCTAGCTCAATTAGGAAGAGAGTTATCGTGCCCCAAAGTATCAACCAATCAAATTGCTTATCTCTGCTTACCCTAAGCGGAAAATGCTCATCTTCGAACTCCATCAAGGCATTGACCTAATAAACACATACACCAAGTTTGAACATTCTAGCTCAATTAAAAGTTATCGTGTCCCAAAGCATCAACCAATCAAATTGCTTATCTCTGCTTACCCTAAGCGGAAAATGCTCATCTTCGAACTCCATCAAGGCATTGACCTAATCAACACATACACCAAGTTTGAACATTCTAGCCCAATTAGGAAGAGAGTTATCGTGTCCCAAAGCATCAACCAATCAAATTGCTTATCTCTGCTTACCCTAAGCGGAAAATGCTCATCTTCGAACTCCATCAAGGCATTGACCTAATAAACACATACACCAAGTTTGAACATTCTAGCTCAATTAGGAAGAGAGTTATTGTGTCCCAAAAAGTGTGACGGACAGACAGACGGACGGACAGACGGACAGACAGACAGACAGACGGACGGACGGACGGACGGACGGACAGACAGACCCATTTTCTCGACACACTGCAGACAATCTTTACAACACTTCCTGTCACGTGGAACTTGCATTTGTAGGCAATGTCCACAACTGCACCTGGACAAAAGTTTAAAAAAAATATTTTTAGTAATTAGTACTGTAGTAGGCCCTGGGCTTTTCTATATTATATAGATTATTAGATGTTGTTATCTACGTGATCAGCACTATTAAAATTGTTCCTTGATTACAATTTACATGTAATCAATAGATCATTTTGTAAAGCTAAATTATATTCTGACAACGGTACTAATTTGGATCATACAGATCCTACATTAAATAGGCCCTTGGCCTTGGGCATAACATCTTTAAAAAAAACGACCGATAGGCCCTACTGGTATTGGCGGTAGCTCTCCTATATATATATATAGCCTAGGCCTTCAAATTGTTTGCCAATCGTTCGACTATCGTCTGGACGATACATCGACGAAGCATGTTTATTTGGGTGTATGTATTTCAAATGAATATGATAAATTATTAATATAGAATCTAAGAGCCTAATATAATAGTGATAGTGATAATAAAAAAGTAGAATGGTACTAGTACTAACCAATACGTTACATCGTGCAGTTGACCTTCCGCTTCAGAGGCATCGCTACTGCTGGACGAATCGTTCTCGCTTGAATCATTGTTGTTAAATTGATCACGTCTCGCAGGTGGTTTGAACTGGTAAGGCTGGACAAAAAATTCTAGTTCCTCAATGTCTGCCATCGTAAAGAAATTATAAGACCGATATTGACGTCTGTTTGATCATTTGTTGACATTAAAGAGGACTAATATGACGCAATAACCTATTGACCAATCAGATTGTTTGAATTACCAAAGGGCAGATAACTGCGTATTTTATTTCTACACAGGTAAACATTTGTGAATGCTCGCGACGCATGTTAGGTATTAAAAAAATTTTTTTGCCTGACGCGATCCCACGGCACTAAAGAATATATTTAGGCAGTCAGTAAGGATATTATGAAGCCTTTTCCGGTGACCTTTAAGATGTTGTACATCTCTATATTCTTTTAAAAAACAACTTAAAACACATTTTTTTAATCAGGCTTTTAACTGACTCTGTATACAATCGTTAACATGTCCATAATCTTGTTGTTTATGTGTGATTTACATTGTCACTTTGTAAAGTGCCCCTGAACATGTTATATGAAAGGGTGCACTATAAATATGCTGTAATAATAATAATAAAAATAATAGTGCTATCAACAGACTACGACGGATGGCTCAATTTTGACAGTTCACCAGCAAATATGTCGAATTCACTTCTGCCATTAGGTCCTTTTCTTGTTTTAGATTTAATTGTTCGTGCGTGGGTTACTTGAATCTCCCTTACTATATCCTTAAAAACACTATCGCTCATTGTAATGGACCCAAGAGCTTGAAAAATGAAATTCTGTCTCGAAAGGGGTAGTTTCTTCCTTTTGGCAAACTGTAAGATCTCTACAATGAAGCCATTGCTAAGGCGGACTGGTACATCTGATTCTGAGATACGTGACATCAGGTCATCCAGGTTTCCTAGGATATCCGATTCATATATGCCGTATGTATCACAAAGGCTACCAACACTGCCAAAAAGAACAGGAATAGCTAAGAAGACTTGAAGCTGATCACTATCATTATTATCAACCTGGCGTTTGCCCTGGATAACGCACATTTATTTTGGTACTAAATATGTAGGTGGTATTTATACTGGTTCTTACCAAATTTTCGCCGTGAATCTGACCCTTGACTTTGATGATAAAATTAAGGATTTTAGAAAAAAGATTTTCTACGCAAATAAGATACATATCAATTGCTTGTATCAAGACCTAACTATTCATCTAGGTCATGATGTGTGAAGGTCATTGGCCGTGAAGCGCAGCGAGTTTTTCTAAACCCCTTTAATTTTATTGTTGACATAATGTCACTAATTAGAATAATAAATGAGTAAAAACAAGAAACGACGTAACTTTGGACATATATATTGGCGGTATCATAATAAAACTGGCGGCTGCCATACAGGTTACGCCCACATTTTCGAGAGATGGATAGAGAACAAGCTAAAAATTACAATTCGATATGTGCAAATATCGAAAGGATCCAAGATCTTTGTGTTATTAACTTACATTTCAAGTTTCAACAAAATCGGATAAAAATTGTGACCTCTATATGGTCCACAACCTTGATATACCATATTTGAGAACGAACTGCAGCCATTTTGTCTGTCAATTTTGGGCCAATTTACACGAAATTCGAACTCAGCGATACCTTAGGGTGTAACAATGATATAATAATACGGCTTTTTAAATCGGATAAAAATTATGACCTCTATAGGGTCCACAAGCTAAAAACGTGATTTTTGGTACAATCAGGGGCCATAATTCAGGAAGTTACAGTCCAATATGTGCGAATATCTAAAGGAACCGAGA